CCGGGGAGGCTTAAGCACATCTGGAATTGATTGATACACTAATTAAAGCACTTATATTAACAAGCCCAAATAAACTTAGTAGTATTGCAATTAATTCAAGTGGCCAGTCAACCAGAAAATCAGGATCGAAGGGCAACGGGCGGAAAATAGTCTTGCAGAAATCAGCAGACTATCAGTAGCCTGTAATGTGATATCTTGGAATGCTTCTAACCGGTAGCCATAACGGTTTTAGCCTAAGGATAAAATGTTGTTTCCAAATATCTCGCAAACATGTACAATCCTGTCTTCTCTTTTCATTAAATTAAGCTTACACCTTTTTAAACGTCAGACAATTACTGCTGTTATTTTTGCTGACGTTACTTGATCATCAGCGCTAGCTATAAACTGCAGCTTCTATAGGGATGAAAATAAACAACCTCATTTTCAGATGGCAGATATAAAATTGAACGTAATAATATATTTACGGCATTAATACCTATAAATAGATGCGTCACCAAGCTATAATGAAACCACAATATTTCCATTATCACCTTTATTGACGCAGTGAGCTGACGTTTGTAAGCCGCCTTCCGATGTACATTTCGATTCGTTTCTTTCAGATTCCACGTTGCTCCTTTCATCAAGCTGTTTTGAGTCTTGAACAACAAGCCGATTGCTAGTTCCATGAGTATTTTGAACGAGGATCTTGTATGATTTCCAGTGTGTAAAGAAGAACAGAATTACCACAAAGCCAAAACTGACCAAGACGTAACACTTCCGTGTTCTAGGTAACGTCATTTAATTCAATATTAATTTAATTTTGCTCACCAAACTGCATGCAAAATATCCTGAAATGTTGTTCTTTTGTCTCCCAGGTCCTGGGAACCAGTAAGCTCTGGTACACAGCGATACGTGACGTCTTTACGTGACGTCAACCTTCTCGCCCAGCTTGGTCACATGACCACGAAGCAAAACAATTGTTTTGGCAAAGATCCGGAGAGAAAAGGAACCGTTGATTTTGTCGACGTTCAGTTGAATCTTTTCATTTTCGGCAAGTTCGTTTGCTCAGTAGTATTCCGTCAAAATAACTTACGGTGGGACCCATACTAAGCTTGATACCACTTGAAAATTAAGCTTATGCGCGTTTGCAATCGTCTGGAAACTACCAGACTGCACTGGCCCAGAGTTTGAAGGGTGAACAGAATTTTAAACATAGTTTGGCTGTTTAATTGCATTTGAAGTAACGACTGTCTTTTGCTGTAATCACTTCAAAGGAGCCTGTCTATCGCCACGACTTCTGTGTTAACCTAGTTCACTGAAAAAGAAACTGAATTCGTGCCAAAATTTTGCTGCGTGCACTTGAAGACTTGTTAGGCGTTGTAAAAGTGGAATGTTTGACGTTTAGTTTAAACTTGGAAGCAAGAGATCATATATCGACAGAAAGGTGAGTCGCTGTATTCGTTGTAAATTTTATTTATTGAGGTATGACACATTTGTTCTCTCTGTGTTAATCTTTCTGCGCGAGAAACAGACACACATCGGAGACAGTAACTCACGTTGTTTTGATTACTGCTGACGGTCGCCGTCGCTAACGGAAGTTTCAAGAGAATTTTGAACCGAAAAAAGGAAAATGCTATGGTTTTTCCCCTTGAGAAACAATTTTAACGTGTTGTTTGGATTTCTTAGGTAGAAATGGAAGGGTGAGTTTGAAAAAATCATCGAAGAGGTAGAAGCGAAGGATGAACCTTGAACGAAAAATTAGGGTTTAGCTTATATTATCGATTCTGTTGTAGGCTTCCAGAAGGTCAAAATTCTCGTCTGCAAGAATGGGCATATCCATCAAGTTTCGTTCTAAGCAATAACATACACGTAGATAAGTGCTGCTCGAGTGTTTTTTGAAGCAAATCGCAAGCGAACGTGACGAGAACTAAAATGATTGTTTCTTTTGTTGTGTAATCCTCGCAGGACTTTAATTCAAAATGGCAAAAGACAGAGGAACTGATGTGGAAAGGACTAAAGCAACTGCTTTGGAGGAAGCTCCCCCAAGACAGAATCGTAATGATGATCGACGCTTCTCGCTCAGAAGGATTTTCGGACGCTCCAAGACGTACAAGGGGGAAAATTCCTCGGACAAATTTACGCGAAAAAACAGTACAGATTCGTTAGCGATCTGCCCTGTTTGTTACGCTATGAGGTCGAAATCTCTGTTCCCAGAAATTTCCACTTGCGAACACAGATCTTGTTTTGAGTGCTTGAGGCAGTACATGACAATCGAAATTAATGAGTCAAGAGTGAACTTAACTTGCCCTGAGTGTTCAGAAAGATTTCATCCCAATGACATCAAGGTAATTCTCAATGATGATATCTTAATGGCAAAATATGATGAGTTCACTCTTCGTAGAACCTTAGTTGCAGACCCAGATTGCCGCTGGTGCCCAGCTCCAGATTGTGGGTTTGCCGTCATTGCATCAGGTTGTGCTAGTTGCCCCAAATTGCAATGTGAACGACCTGGTTGCAACACTGAATTCTGCTACCATTGCAAGCAAATCTGGCATCCTAACTTGACATGCGATGCTGCAAGACTTCGACGTGCTACTCACATTAAATCAATTTCTGGATCTGAAGGACGTAATTCAAATGGGTCTGATGACATGAAACCATGCCCGCGTTGTGGAGCTTTTATTATAAAGATGGACGATGGATCTTGTAATCACATGACTTGTGCAGTGTGTGGAGCAGAGTTTTGTTGGATGTGCATGAAAGAGATTTCTGATCTCCATTACTTAAGGTAAGTCATAAAGCTAGAGTACCACTCAGAAACAAGCGAAATACTTGTTAAGGACACACTCAAAATGCGCTCTCGCATTTTGGTGTGTTAGACTACATGTTGAATTTGTGTTACAGCATGTTCATATGTGTACATATTTTAGATATCATTTGTTGTCACCAACAGTTGATGACTACAGTTACTGTTCTTTACTCTTTCTCAGGTAACCCTCTTACCTAGTTATTCTGGCAGGTTTCCGTAATTTGCCGGGACTCATCAGTGTTCTTGTATATACATGAACATGTAACTTGGCGAAGAGGGGTACCGATGTACGGTTTACAAGTTTAGGGGGTGTTTTACCCATCAACACACCATTAAGACATAACCCAGGCAGCCCATAACCTGGACACCTCTTTACTACTGCAAGTGCACATACATACATACATACTTTATTGTTACCTCCCCAATGGGGCTTTTCAGGAACAATTACTTAAATTACTAAGTTACTAATAACTACACAATCAAAATTAATCAAATTTAAAAAACATTTACAACATTATCTAAACTTTGTAGTTGCGACAAAAATACTAAAAATAAATGAAGTTTAGGGAGTATTTACAAAATTGTCGAAAAGCTTATTCTTTAAGATACGTTTAAAAACTTGAACTGAACAGCTTGATTTTAAAAAGGGGTCTAAATTGTTCCAAAGTCCAATAGTTCTGTAAAAAAATGTTCTTTGCACTTTTACCAAGTGCAGACCTCCTCAGTCACTCACCTCACATGTGCCACTCAGTACTAGTCAGAGTAAATCTTTGTTAAGCGTACCTACTTCACCCAAGAGTGTTAACAACAGTGGCCTCTTGGGAGACACTTAAGGTAGACCCTTCTCCAAGGTGACTGGTTGCCACTTGTTGTGAGTATGACTATTGTCTACTTATAATGGGATCACTTGGTATTCATGTTGGAAAGTCTGGCTCATTGTCAAAAATGTTGTCTCCCACATTGAAGAATTTGAAGTTTTGCCAGTATTCCTCAATTCAGCACAGTAATTCCATGGACTAAAGTATTCAGTGTTTCTACTTGTAGATTGAGTTACAATATTATCATGTTTGATTAGAACATTTTATTTCTCATGTCCAGTGGTTGCTTTATACCATTTACATGTAATTATTTTAGTAAGTTTGAATGATTCATTATTGGTTTCAGCATCACACTGTTAGTATTGTAAACCGAAAAGTGTATACATCGAAACTTTTTCAAACTACCAGATATGACAGCTAGTGCAATATACTGGTGTAAACATGGCTTAAGTTTCAGCATAACAACTATTTTATTAACAGGTAATGTGTATTTTCTGTGAATATACAAACAGCACACTGGTAAAAATCACAAAAAAATTATTGTGAGGGAGCAAGTGAACAAATTACCCAGAACTGATCCGTACTGACTGGTTTTCTATTCCTCTGGTATCAGTATCATTTCTATCCATGAAACAAAGCAAGTGACAACAGATTAAGATGAAATTCGATAGAAAATCGAGCAATTTCAGGTTTTAGTGGACAAAAATCTGGTACTAGAATAATTTTAAGTATTTTACAGTCATTTTTACATTTTCTTAAAGCTAAATACATAAATAATTGCCTGAAATAACACCAAAAACAATTTCCCATGGGAACAAGGGAAAATAAATTTCAAAGTTCAGAGAACTTTTGCAGACACAGGCAAAATTTCATCATAAGTTTCATTTCAGCAGTACTTTCAAGTGTTGCATATGAAGTTCAACATTCGTTTTTGACATTTGGTGTTGCTAGAAATGATTTTTTTGAGAAGATATTTAAAACAGTCATACAGAAGTTTGCAAATGATGTAAATAATCTTGGCACTAGGTTTTCGTCCACTTGTTACTCAAACTTCTGGTGGATTCCATCTTAAAGCTTTGAGTTGGCTTTGACAAAGAGCCATGTGACATTCCTGAGATTGAATTCAAACCTGTGTGGCAATCTGTTTTGTCATAAATGCTAAAGTCCCGAAGAACTAAATGCAACCCTAACATTAGGAAAATCAAGAGTTTACAATGGTTTAACAACTATCATTTAATGCGAAATTTCCAAGAATAAGCAAACAGTTATAAACATCACAAGAATTAATAGTCAATAAGAGTCGACCAGGCAGTATCGAGTCAGATAGAATTGCATTCTTAACAAAAAAAAAAAAAAGAAGTGAAGATTTGCTTCTGTTTACTTTATCTAGTGTGACATTTGCATTTTACACTTGTTCGGTTAGCAATGATTTCTCCGTGCTGTAGAACTTGTAAGTGACACAAGGCAGGACAAAGGGCCTTATGATTTAAATTTTTGGTCAGTTCCTGGAAATTTAGCTGCTTATGTAACTGTAGAATGACTGATTTGTATTTTGTATGTTATTGTTGTAGCCCTTCTGGCTGTACATTTTGGGGTAAAAAGCCCTGGAGTCGCAAGAAAAAAATCCTTTGGCAGATGGGAACTCTAATAGGTGCACCCCTTGGAATTGCTCTTGCTGCAGGGGTGGTGCTTCCTGCTATGGTGATTGGCATTCCTGTTTATGTTGGAAGACAGGTGAGGTTCTATTACAGACTGCAGGGCAGGAAAAAAAGTTTGAAATCCAGTTGGTCAATGGGCCAGTACATTTCAGTTTTCATATTCCCCAGCTAAAATATTACTTGCCCAAATAGGCGTGCAATGTTCATGCCTTTTCAACTAACAAGACTACTGAGGCTAATTTCATTTGCCTGCTGGACCACCATACTTCCATTTTCACTTGCCCAAGAGTTAAATTTACTTGCCCTGAGGAATCAGACCTGGGTATTTCCTGCCCTGGACTGTTCTGACTGACTTACCAGAGGAAAAGCTGAAAGTAAATTCCTAACTAAAACGCCATGGCTTTTTGTTGATATTTCACTCACTAAAGATCCTTTGTTTTCATCTTAAGCTGCTAAGGCCCGGTCCAAATGCCGCTCCGCTCATGTGCCGAATCAAACTTGATTAAGTTTGACTTTAGAGTGACTTTGGAGCCCCAGCTGGTTCAGACAGCGTACTTGCGTCAAACTTAATTTCAGAAGCCGTTGGTAACAATTTTCGAGGAGAAAATATTCGTTCTAAATTCAAGAACTCTGTCCAAATAGAAAAGCTGTGACTAACATTTCGATGTTGTAGCAATATTTAGGGAAGCAAATTCAAACTCAAGGTTCAGTGTTTGTATTTAGACAGGTTTTCTCCCGGTTAATTCAACTTGTTAAAGGGAAATCTGATAGTCTGGGCTATTATCACAAAGAAAAAGCAAAAAATGAATTTGCACAAAAGAAACTTGCTTATACAGTCCTGTTTCTCATAAATCAAAGGCATACGTAATTTTGTTGTGTTTAGTTTTAGCAACCACTTTGAGCTTCATGCATGACTGGTCACGCCACTCAATTTTGAGCCAATCACGAGTCCCGTTATATGAAAAATACATTACAGTAATTTATGCATTAGGTTCGACACACGAGGAGAATGCCATATGAATCAGCTGCCACTCCAACATCTCATAGTGCGACAGACCCTGCCGAATTTAATGTCGTTTGCCGCACCGAACCTAACCTGCCAAACCAAACTGATTCAAACGTGGCTCTTCTGCCATACTTAACTCATCAGTTAGGTTCGGCGCATGAATGGAGCGGCGTTTGGAATGGGCCTAATTTGTAGTAGGGCTTATCTATTGTGTATCATTTACAATGTTTGGGATGACATTAAGATTTCCATAACAGAATTTAAAATTATTTTGAGTAAACAAGTCAAGAAAAGTTGATCGCTCAGACATTTAATTTGTTTTTTGTTATATTTGTTTTCCTCCTATTTTCTGATGTTCAGGTGTTTTGATTTTCCTTTGTTGACATGCATGAAACATTACATTTCACATTGATTGTGATAGCTTGAAATTTTTTTTTAACTTTGTAAGATCTAACAAGTGACAATAAGCGTGATATAATTTTCATTCAGGTCCATGACAAGTACGATAAACCATATCAATCAAGGCGGAAACGTAACTTTGCAATTACTGGAGCAGTAACACTGTCCATCCTCGCATCACCCATCCTGGCAGCACTAACGGTTGGTGTTGGTGTGCCCATTGCTCTTGGTTATATTTATGGTGTAGTGCCAGTTTCCCTTTGCCGCAGTGGAGGCTGCGCCACAGTAACAAACATTCGAAATGGTAAAGGGGTGAATCTTGAGTTTGATGAGGAGGGAGAACCTGCTACAGCAGGAGGTACAGGAACATTTGGTACTTCACAGTCCAGCAGTAGGAGCAGCATGCGCGGCGCCGACAAAGGATCCACAACGGGGGTAGTGACAGTTGTGGCTACCGTCAACAATAGGGCAGCAGGTAATTCCATGTGTTTGTTGAGCTTTATTAGTTCAAACCTCTTGCAATGTGCTTAATTCAGTTGGA